CGAATCACTACCTTATGGCTGCACAGAGGATGCTGTCCCGCCGAGGTAGCCCAGGCCCCAGTACAATCTGCTGTTTATTTTTTGTGTTGCTCTTAGTTTTCTGGTAAAAGCTATTTTACTTTATAAAAATGTTTCTTAAATGTTGGGGTGGGGGAGTGGAGAGAAAATAGTACAGGGGGGTAGACACTTGCTGCGCATGTGTCTTGAGCCCTGTCACCGCATATAGCACTTCTGAAGTGACCCCAGCGCACAGAGCTGGGAGCAGTATCCTGTGAGCACCACTGGGTGGGGCCCAATACCCCTCCCACCCAAACAAAAGATATTTGATCTAGCTAAATTAGACTTCAGTGGGGTTGGTTGGTAGTTTCTGGAGGTCAGTGCTCTCAGTCTTGGGGGCTCCCTTCCCCCCAATCACCCTGTCATGCCTTTTCAGCCCCTCCTCTGCACATTGTTCTGTGGGTCACATATGGTCCATATGGACCCCAGCCTCCCTTTTGAGTATGAACTTGCCGCCCTCTACTGCCTTCCGCACCTCTTTTGCTCTGGTACCCCCGGGACCTCAGCAAGGCCGGCTCTTGGTCTGCGGTGGGCCTTTCCCTACAGGAGTCCACACGCCCCGGGTGGGAGGCATCACCTCCTGTTCCGAGCCTCAGGCGGGATCCCGCTCCCCATGCGTGCCACACGTGACCCCAACACACCATCCTTTATTCTGGCTGAGCAGACCTTGGGCTCTGGAATCTGGCCTTGCCTGTCTGAACTGGCCTGGCCCTGCAGCGCAGGCAGATGAACAGGCCACCAGTTGGGCCACTAATCCGGGAGCTCTTGTGGAACGCTAATCCGCTCCTGTCCGCTCCTCCGCCCTGTGCCCGGAGCATGGGTGGTGCCCCCCTTGCCCACAGGAGCCTGAGCCTCACTAGCTGGGCATGTTGTCATCAGTTTCTACACTCCTGGGCTCTGGGCTCTTCCCCTCTGTGGCCCCAAAGGGCTAAGGGGCCTGGCTGGCAGTGGTTCAGTATTGACTGTGCAAGTGCGACCCGGGGCCCGGGTGTGGGGGTATGAAGTGTGAAGAGCCCTGAAATTGTCCACAGCAATTGTTCTTCTCTGGAGGTAGGGCTCTGGCCCCCCTTCCTGTCCAGCTCTGGGGGCACTTTTCATCTCCATCTGCTGTGTGGGACTGGCAGCTCAGAGCAGGCCCATCCACTATGCCTAGGATGGTCACACGGTGGCCGCTCTCCATCTCCACACACAGCCCCAAGGTGGCTGGCCTTGGAAGGACTGCCCTCCGCACCCCAATCATCTTGCATCTGAAACCTCACATCTCTCCATCCCTGGCTGCGGGCAACCAGGCCTGAGCCACTCCTTCACCTCCCTCTCCTCGGATCTTCCCATCCCCACGTTCGTCTCTGCATATCCGCCCCAGTCCTGTTCCCAGCCATGACTCACTCGAAGGCTGCAAGTGAGCCTGGGTCACCAGACAGGTCCTGCTGTGTCCCTGAAATGGAGCACATGCTTGGTGGCAGTGCCCGCGCACCCCCACAGTGCTGGATTTATCAGGAGGCGCCTTATTCCTGACCACTGGGGTTGCACATGGCTCTGTAGTTCTCCCACACTCCTGGTGGTGTCCTGAGGTCCCACACAGCAGAGCCCTGGATCATGCTTAGCACATGGGGGTGGCCCCAAGGATCAGTCCCAATGCTTACAAGGCAGCGCTTTGCAGCACAAGCCCTCACGGGGCCCGAGAACTGGCCTTCATGGTCAGAAGGGAAAGAAGTTCCAAGTCTCAGAATCAGTGAGATAAGAAACCCAAACAGGACTGAGAGCAACATTGGTAGGCTGTGCGAGCCTGAGGCAGCCCTGGAAGAAGCAGAGATGATGGCTTTTGAAACCAGCTTGGTGGGTTGCGGGCAGCACTGCTTTTAAAAATAGAACCGAATAGGAAACGTCTGAGTGCTGTGCAGGTGAGAAGGAGTGTTCGCACAACTTCCTCTTTTGCATATACATGACCTGTGTTTCCTTTTCACGTCCGCACAGCCCTAGCTGTGGTGCGGAAGCTGCCACCGTGTACAGCTTTCTTGGGTCCGGGAAGGTGTACAATGGTGTCATGCATGCCTGGCATGTACCAGACTCAGGTTCAATCCCTGCACCATCAGTTTTCCCAAGGGCTTCGCTGGGTGCAGCCTAGGAGGACCCCAACACTGCCTGGGTACCTATCCCTGGCTTTTTACCTGGGATACCTACGTGGCTTACCTGCTTAGGTGAGTCCATGGCGCTGTTTCTCTTGCCCTGCTGTATCCAATAGAGGTGAGGCTTTATGGCAATCAGCTCTCTCTTGGGGGTTGGAAGTGTTAACTCCTGGGGTAACCCGCTCCACTCCGTGTGTTTACTGGATGTTTTGCACTATAACTGTCTGAGGTTATTATTCTGTAGTTTCTGCCATGGTTCTGGTTGTTCCAGCTTTAGTGGTTGGAAGCCCCCTTGGTCCTGGGCCACCTGCTTCCCCCCCGAGTATCTGGACAGGACCTTGGCTCACCTTGGTTTTCCCAGTCCCGGATGAATCCCTGGAGCTGGCTCAGATATGGTGGAGAACTGCCCTCTCTGTGCAGCCAGCACTCTTCACTTCCTTGGCTTCCCAGAGGTGTATGGCTCTGGGAGCTGCCTGCTTACCTGGCGTGCCCAGTCAGCGCGGCTCATTGCCCAGCCACCTGTCTGTGCCTGCATCCACATGCAAAGCCTCAGCTGCCCCATGGAGTGACCGGAATTCCCAACTCCCAGGGTTGGGCTGGCCCAGGCCTGGCCTCTACCACCCAACTCCTTCCCAACTCCAGATTCATCTAGATGGGTGTGTGTTTCCCACAGCCGCTCCTGGCTCCCATGCCAGAGAAGTGCCCACCTTCACTCTTACCTCCAGCCCAGCTCCCCCTGCACCCCACTGCCCAGGACCTGCCCTTCTCTCTCACATCCCCTCTGATAAGCTTCTTTTACTCAGTATAGAATGACAAAGAGAGACTCAAGTCTCTCAGCCAGAGAATCACTCAGGCTAGACCACAGCCTCATCACTGCAGGCCCTGCACAGACACCCTAGGGGGGACCCTCTGTGGAGGCTGTCCTCCACGCACAGGGAGTGTGGTGGCCTCTCTTTGGGGAAAATTCCAAATAAAGTGGGGGGGGGGGTATGCTTCAGACCTGCCCAGAAGTGCCTAGCTGGCTCTGGCATCTGGGAAGGCCCCAAGGTAGGACTGGAGCTCACCTTAATGTCAGGTGGCTGGGAACAGAATAGGGGCTGGGGGGGAATTCAGCAGCTTCCATTTTCAAATGGCACTTGTCCCCTCTTTTCTCTCCTCATCTGGATGAGAACTTTACACAGAGCACTAGCCAGCAGCATCCACATCAGACAGAGACCAAGCTCACCTGGCGCTGCCTAGACCTGCAGCCCGGGTGTGTCACTTCCATCTACCAAACAAAGGGAAGTTGTGTGGGTGTGGGGGCCTGGGGCCCTGCTCCTACACTACTGGCTTCCTCCTTCCTTCCTCTCCCTGACCCTGTCGGGGACCCTCATGCCCAGCCCTGAGGGGTCTCTGGAACCAGGTGCTGATCCAGCCCAAACTCACTGCGTGGGCAGCTGTGTGTGTGTGTGTTTGTGTGTGTGTGTGCGTGTGTGTGTCTTTCACTTGTCCACTCATTCATCTGCTCAGGTGAGAGGACTGAGGTGCGATCAGATGTGGGGAGGACTCAGGTGGGCACAGTTGTGGGGAGGACTCAGGTGTGTGGAGGATTCATGGGTACAAGAGAGAAGACTTAGGTGGGGAGGACTCAGACACTTATGTGGGAGGATTGGGGTGGGCACAGGTGAGGGGAGGAGTCATATGCACAGGTGAGAGGACTTAGGTGGGGAGGACTTGGGTGGACACAAGTCTGAAGAGGACCCGTGGGGAAAGGTCTGTGGGCCTGCTTATTCTGTAGTTTCTGCCATGGTTGTTCCAGCTTTAGTGGTTGGAAGCCCCCTTGGTCCTGGGCCACCTGCTTCCCCCCAGTATCTGGACAGGACCTTGGCTTGCCTTGGTTTTCCCAGTCCCGGATGAATCTCCGGAGCTGGCTCAGAAACGGTGGAGAACTGCCTTCTCTGTGCAGCCAGCACTCTTCACTTCCTTGGCGGTTTGCACCTTGTGGGTGCTGCGGTCAGCAAGACTGTGAGGCCACTGAAGGAAAAGTGTTCAGTCCAGCCGGGAAGTTCACAAGAGTGAGTGGGGATCATTCAGTGGCAGTGACCGAGCAGTGGGGCTGGGGTCCCGGACTGAGCTGAGAACTTCCTAGTCTGGAGAGGACAGCAGTGCGAGGTCCTGGGGTGACCCAAGTGCGGGGAGCCAGAGCCAGGAGGTGGGCAGCAGAGGTACACAGGGTGCAGCCTGCTAAGCGGACCCCTCGGCATAAGCTTATGCGCAGGGGCCCTGGGAAGGAGGCAACGGGAGTGCACGAGGAGTAGGGGACGGTGCAGCCCCAGGAAGGGAGAGAAGGCTGAAGGGTGCAGCCCGGATCCCCAGAAATACCAGCGTGGAGCGGACCCGGGTGAGGGGTGACGAGGTAGCGGGGAGCGAGGACTGGAGGGGCTGGAGAGAGGGCTGAGTCTTCTCCCTCCCGAACCTCCCCTCCCCGGGATACAACCAGCGTCCCCAAGAGCCAGGACCCTCGGAGCGTGTTGACTCTGCCCACCGCGGACCCCACTTGCTCCAGCCCCGCACCTGCGGATGGGCGTGTCGGCGCACGAGGGAAGGTGCCGCCGCCGGGGGGGCCCCCGCGCCCACCCCCCGGGCTGCAAAGCGAGCGTCCCCAAGTGCCCGCGGCTGGGTGTGGGACCCCCGAGCCCCGCGGCGCGGCTCCGGCCCGGCCCCGCAGCCGGAGGTGGGGGGTGGGGGTGCGGGGGCGCGGCCCGGGGCACGGGGTTACGTAAGGCGCGGGCGGGGCGCGCGGGCGGGCGGTGCCCGGGAGCGCCAGGCGCGGCGGCACCGCGCAGCCAGCGGCATGGAGCGGCGCCGGGGCTGAGCCGGGCGCAGCGGGCGCGGCGGGCGCGGCGGGCGCAGCGGGCGCAGAGGCCCCGTCGGAGCGGCCGCCCAGCAGCGCCGGAGATGGGGTGAGCGGGCCCGGCTGTGCGGGAGGGTGGCATCGGAGGGGATCCAAGTTTTCCTGGAAAGGCGCCGCTCCAGATGGGAACCCGCCGAGCCACGCAGCCTCCCCCGCGCGGGGACGCCGGGCACAGCGTGGCTTTCTCGGGGTGCTGGAAGCGTGCGGGGAACCCGCGCGACGCTCCAGACTCTTCCCCGAGTCCCTGCCCGGGGCGCCGCGGGGTGCCCGGCGGGAGAACCCGCGAGCCTGGGCGCGAAAGTCACGCGGGAGGGACGCGGCGGGCTTTCCCCAGTGGCGGCGCCGAGTCGGAGTGAGCGCTGCGGGTGTCCAGGGTGCAGGCGGGGAAACCGAGGCACGGGGGCCGTCCGTGGAAGCGAATCGTGTGCCCCTTCGCTGGGCGCAGGGCTGGGAGGGGATCCCCCGCTGCAGAGCTGCGCCTTCCGCACCCCTCGACGCCGGATCCAGGGATGGGGGTGGGTGGGTCCGGGGCAAGGGGGAGCTGCTTGCTTTGCAGGGGGCTGCGGGAGGAGAGCACAGGGCGTGGGCAGGCTCAGCCCGCCCCCTACCCCTCGTGGGAGCTGATTGCGCCCGGAGCCCTCCCATCCTTTCCCGAGGGTCTGCAAAGCGTGTGCGGGGGCCAGAGGCGGGACGCGAGAGGCTTCGAGGCTGGGGAGCGCGGGGGCAGCGGGACTGGCCGGCAGGGGTGCACCCGCTCCGGGCAGGAGGCGGCCTCGCTACGACCTCTGCAGTGACCCCTCGGCAGCCCATGAAAGAGCCGCTCTGGGAGCAGGGGAAGCTTTGAGGCGATCGGGTTTCATATATTTAAAGAAAATGTATGTCGGAAGAAGGGGTTGGCAAATGTAGGTCTCAAGATGAAAGATAAAAGGAATCCGGTAATTTTAACTCACTGCTCCTCCTCCCTCCCCCACCCCCCAAAGCCAGCCAGGCACTCCTGTGTGATCAAAAACAAATATTGAAACACAGGCTGTGGTTGGGATCAGATAGTTCCATGGAAATGAAACTGTTTACTCGTGAAAGCTTAAAGAAAATGTCAAAAAATGTGATTTTCGTTTGTGGAGGAGCAGAGAAGTCTCCGGTGGGGATTTAGTTTCAACGTGGAACCATCTCATGTAATTTTAACATCACCCACGAAGAGCTGTGACCACTCACTCCTGGGGTGCAGCTAATGCGAGTCCTGGCCACATCCACCTGTTCAGCGAAGACCCTGAGCCCATCATCCTTCCCCACCACAGCCCCTTCCCTGTTACCTGCGTGTGTCACCATCATGGTCCCTTCCCTGTCCTCTTGTGTCCCCCCACGGCCCCTTCCCCACTACTGAGTGTTCCCACGTGGCCCCTTCCCATCCTCTTATGTCCCACGTGTCTCTTTCCCCGTCGTCTGAGTGGCCCCATGTGCCCCCTTTCTGATTACTGAGTGTTCCCACATGATCCCTTCCCCATCCTCCTGTGGCCCCCTGTGGCCCCTTCCCTGCCAGCTGAGTGGCCCCCCGTGGCTGTGCATTGATAGAGAGCTGGAGGCTGGAGGCCGTGCGAGCAGCTTCGACAGAGCCAGAACCACCCTTTTCGAGAGTGGGCAAAGAGCTCCAAGGCGGCACGGTCTGGGGGCACCTCACTCTGGACCTCCTCCTCTGTCCCAGCTCCACTGTGCGGACATAGCCAGAATGTGGGAAGCTGGAAGGTGCTCGAGCTGCTCTTCCTCCTTTAGATACCTGAGCTTGGGGCGTCGAACCCCTCCTCTTTGGCCATCCCCCGGCGGGTGGGCATTTCCATTGATTCTGTATTTGGTTCTGCTGAATCATACAATCAGTTTGGGGGTGTCGATGTGAAGTCCTGTTTTCACTTCCCCTGGGTGTAGACCCACACATGGAATTGCAGGATTGTCTGGAAAGCCTATTTTTGGCTTTCTGAGGATAGCCACTGTGTTTCCTGTGGTGTGCGGGTCCACGTAAATGCACGCGGCCGCATGTGGCTGGTAGCTGGTGGACAGCCCAGCTTTCGCTCCTCTTAGCTTCTTACTCTTTCGCATCCCTTTGCCTGAAAACATCTTAGGAGGGGCTGGAGTGATGCACAGCGGGTAGGGCATTTGCCTGGCATGGAGCCGACCCAGGTTTGATCCCCAGCATCCCACATGGTCCCCTGAGCACTGCCAGGAGTAATTCCTGAGTGCAGAGCCAGGAGTATCCCCTGTGCATCGCTTGGTGTGACCCAAAAGAGAAAAAAAAATCTTAGGAGACCTGTCCAGCCCTTTTTGCTCCGCCTCCATGTTCACCCAGCCTGCTGGGGTCACAGGGCCCCCATGAGTCCTTCTTCCTCTTCTCCCTGCCTTGCTCCCCAGTGGCCTCTCCCTGCAACCACTGCCCCATGGCAATCATGATCAGTCGCCTGCTGATGGCTCCTCTGTTGACTTCTGAGTGAGGGGTGGGTGGCCAGGACCCGTTCTGATTTCTGGTGTCTCCTGATCAGCTGTCCCCTGAGGTCCTCCTGTCCTCCCCAGCCTGCCCCATCCGTCTGGAAGCTGCATCTCCATCTGTCCCTTGGGCCTTTGTCCTCTGACCTCCCAGAGTCCTGTGCTGTCCCTCCTGCTGTCTCCCCCATGGTCCCACCATCCTGACCTGCACTGAGAGCGCCACACTCAGCCATCCCAGGTCCTGCAGGGTACATCTGAGTGCATGCAGTCTCCCAGTGATCTGTGCCCTGGGCTGACCCTGGCTCTGGACACCTCTGTAAGTGCCCTTAAACTGCCTGGTGGGGCTTTCCACTACCCTCCCTCTCGTATGGCTACACAAATGCCTCCTCCTTTTCGTCCTTCAGACCCAGGGTGACACACACACACACACTGCTCCCCCACCCCCCACCCCGCTGTTTTCTAAGGAGCCACCTTTGTCTCCTGCACTTGTGTCACCGGCTCTGCTGACTGCCCTGGGTAGGAGTGACTTAGCCACATCCCAGTGCCACCTCTTCTGTCTGTGCACCAAGATGATAGGTAGTGTGACTGGGGGCCCCCCTGAAGGCCTCAGGCGTGTTTGCTGCTCTCTGCTGGCACAACCCCACCCCCACCCTCCTTTACTGGGCTTGTTTGAAGCTGGCATGGCCAGTCCAGAATGGAACTGCCTTTAGCTGCCAGTGCTCTCCGTGTCAGCCAGCTGCTGAGTCTTGACTAAGGCTCAGGTTGACTGGGGGGCTGTCAGTGATGCCCCCAACTGCCCAGTCAGCAGCTGGAGCCTGGCTCCAGCCCTGTCAGTGTTTACCAGCAAGAGCGGCTGTTCGTCTGGCTCCAGTTTCACCCGGGGGTGTCTTTTGTTCAGCCTGGATCATCTCGCTGCCGGAAACCCTTGATCCTGGTTAGCAAACCCCACAGGCCTTGTGCTGTAACCCACACCTGTCTCCCCCACCCGCACCCCGTTCTAGCCTTCTTCCCTTTTGTGAATTTTCCATCCCTCCTGAATGGAGAATCAAGGTTCCTCCCCAGCATCTCCCACCTGCCTGTGGGGTTTGAGCTGGGAAACGTGCACAGTCAGTTCCTGCTGTGGCTGTTTCAACTTGGTGGCCCGAAACTTCTCCTTCCCACCCTTGGTCTGCAAGATGCTTGGTGGTGCTGTTGGGGTCCGGGCGAGGCGGGTGCCTGCCCCAGGAGCTGGTACACATTCAGAGGGGCTGCGAGTGTAGACAGAATGTCTCAACTCCCCGAGGGTTGCAGAGTGGGGCGGGCACAGGGACGGTCTTCTGGGGACACTGCTGGCATTAGGGATCCCCACTCATCATTAGATAGCCACCCCAAAGGCCAGAATCAGGAAAGGACTCGGAATGGCGGGTGTGGAAGGCAGGAGTGGACGCCGCCTCTTTTGGCAGCACTGTGGGGCGGTGCCAACATTCCAAAGGAAGTGAGGTGTGGGGTGAGCCCAGGCACTGCTTACACTGGCTGTGGCTCTGAAGGTTGGCCGAGTGCTGATGTCCAGGGGCCAGCTGTCAGGGTTTTCAGGGGAACTTAGAGGTACGCAGGGGAGCCAGACAGATATCCCTGCCCCCCCCCCCCCGCATCCTTCCTGCCCCACTCACCACCATGTCTTTCCTCTAACCCTGGAAATCCCCCTAAATAGGCCACGGGCTCCCTCAGGAGAGCCCCCCCTAGCCCATGTCCCTCAGCTTCCCCAGCTGAGCGTCCCTGTGTGTCTGTGGAGAGGAGTTGTGGAACCATGTTCTGCCTGCACTGGGTGCCCCGAGCGGCTGGGTGGCCTCCCACCCCATCCCTGGTAACCTGCTCAGCTTCCCCAGAACAAGGCCCAGGACAGTTCCTCAGCAGCCCAGTCCTGCCCTCACACATCTGGGGTGGTGGCTGTGCTTGTCCCCAGCCTGAAAACAAATGGAGCCAAAGGAGCCCTGAGCACAGCCTGGGTCTGGGTAACCGAGTGTCTGAGCTCTGGGGGCACAGTTGCCTACACCCTCCATCCCCATTGGGTTTCTGGGACCTGTTTCCTGCTGGGGAGCAGGCAGCCGTGTGTGCAGTTAGACCTCCACCCCCACCCCCTGCCACCGCTCTCATTCTGCTGGGATGTATTTAAATTCTGTGGGAGATTAGCTTGTTAGGGAAGAACTGGGCTCGCCCAGAGCCCGGTTAGACATTTGTCAGGACTGCAGAGAATTTGCACAAAATGCAAATTTTTATTCACAAGCCTGGATGATGGTCTTGTTATTGTCCCTCTGAGGAAATGGGGGCCATAGCAACCCTCCCCCCAACACAGGTCGAGGCTCAGGTGTGGTCACCAGCCACATTGACAGCCTGAGCCAGGCCTCGAGAACTGGATTCCTGGCCGCGAGAGGGGCTATTGGGAATATGGCGGCCTGTCCCAGGGAGATCTGAGTCTGATCTCACCCACAAGGGGTGGACTGACCTCACCCCCCCGCGTCCTGTCCTTCTCTGTGGGTTGGGGGCCGGGTGACCACAGGGACCCAATTACTGTGGAGCAGGCAGACCCGCTGCCTGGCACCC